CTCCTAATCTAAAGTCTGGCTATGACATTTAAAAAAAACAGACAGATAAAAGATAAGAGGAGCTTTGTGAAAAGATCTCTGGGACTTGACTCCTGCAATCAGGATCAGTTAACTCCTTCGCCAAAGACACCCCGTTAAGGCTCTGTTGAAGCTACAACAGATCCTCCTAGCATAGTTAACTTGCCTCTGGGAAATGTCACTCGAAAAGTTAGGGAGTGAAGAGGACACTGATATGCACCAAAAACTCTCTGCAAGACTCCAAACGAGAAGTAACATTCAATTCCACATGAGTTGAGGTGGGAAAGAGTGGATTTAAAGGACAGAAAAGAGTTCAATGAGGGTTCACTTACATTTCTTCCCTCACAAAAACCTGGGGCGAGAGAGAGAATCAAAGCCATACTTATATAAAATTGGCCAAGGATACTAAATTGGGACATATTGTAAACATCAATGAGGATGGTGTAATTCTCTGAGTTCAGAATGTAAACTACAGCTTCAATTTTATGATGTGTACCAAACAGCACTCCATGTGTACAAAACAAATGGATGTACGATCTCCAATGTTTTACTAGAAAATGTCTAAAAAATAGTAAATTCTTGAGCACATAATGCACATGATGAATTAATTAACCCTCTTTGAAACATGATGAGATGGAGATGGGGATTCACATCCTGATTTTCCAGATGAGAAAAGGGAAAAGAAAGGAAGTTATCCAGCCATGGTCACAATGCCGGGGAAGAAGAAATCTCACAGAGTTCTGAGTTTTAACCCTATCCATCCACCGTGCACTCCGTCAGCTAGCTCGATCCCCATAGAAGATGATTTTTAAGAGAATAGGAGCTAGGATTCACCATCTGCTAGGAAGGCAAAACCAAAAGTGCATATAGGTATAAATGCAGGTATGTTTGCTGAAATAATAGTGACGATGTTTGTAATTTGTAGAATTATCACAAAAAGTCTAAGCTGGAAGGGAACTTTAAAAATACCTAGTTTAACTCCCTTATTTTACAGACAGGGAAAACTGAGGTCTAAAAGGAGAAGTTTCTTATCCAAGGCCACAAAACTAAAACCCTTGTGAGTCCCTACACCTGTATATGGGTATCACCTGCCTTTGACTTCCTGGCCTTTTAGATAGCATCCAACGTGCCTTCCCCTTTCACCTCCCTGCTCATCCCACCCACTCCACCAGCTAGCTGATTCTCCTCATGCCTGTGTCTAACCCACAGACCATCCCCACAACTGTGCATGCGTGCGTGCACACACGTGTGCACACACACAAATGCACTCTTTCACTAAGTTTCCATCAACCAGATTTTAGTGATTTTACCCACATGGCCTAGTACCATTATTTTTTATCTCAAAATATGCACATCCTCCAGTGACTAGCCTCACCCTCACCCCAAACTCCCAGCATTACTGACAATGAGAAGATGTGGGGCTCTCCCCTCTTCTTGCTCCACAAGAGGAAAACCTGGCTAGATTACAATCAACTCTGTGCTAAGCTGTGCACCAGTGACAGCATTAAAGCCTCATGCTTTATGAACTACCAAAGCTAGAAACGGATTTCTGTCTGATGTGCCAGGCTTTTAAGTCTTGTACCTGTGCCCAGCCCAGAGATTTCTGAAACCATGAATAAAGTGGTAATCAACACTCTGAATACTCAGTCTTAGTTAACTGATAATAAATAAATGAGGAAGAGAAAGATTTGTGCTCCCCCTCTCTCCAAGACAGGTAGAATTCCAAGTTTCAACAAGGCAAATTCAGAATCACCTTCAGAAAGGTCATTTGTGGGATAAAGACATATTGTAAAATAGGAAAAAAATACAAATCAATAAATGTTCTCTGTGGGTAATAAGACAACCTTCTGCCTTCAAAAGGAGATAATGACAGCAGTAAACTCCAGCCACCAAGTTTTACAGATGGGAGGAGAAAGAAAACATCAATAATTGTTTTTTGCTTTGTGTTTTTTTTAGAACACTTTCTCCCATCCCTCAAAGAGCTCAAGACTGGAACCTGGGGTCCAGATTACAAGGGAAACAAGGAGCTCCATAGCTTCGCAAGGAATCCATTGGTGATTTTTCATATTTTTTTTTCTTTTTCTGCTTTATTTCACAACCCCTCCCCCCCACCGCGTACACAGTTGTATATCTTAGTTGCAGGTCCTTCTAATTGTGGGATGTGGGACGCCACCTCAACATGGCCTGACGAGCGGTGCCATGTCCACGCCCAGGATCTGAACCCTGGGCCACCGCAGCGGAGTGCGTGAGCTTAACCACTCGGCCACGGAGCCGGCCTCGATTTTTCATGTTTCAAGCAGTCAAGAGCACTTGGCCCTGTGACCTTATAGAGGCTCATTGCCTCAAAGAAAATATTACCAACTTTCCCTAACTTAAGTGATTCTAGGGTCTGGAGCAATTTGAGATCCTGCTGGATTTTTTTTTTAAGATTTTATTTTTTTCCTTTTTCTTCCCAAAGCCCCCCAGTACATAGTTGTATATTCTTCATTGTGGGTCCTTCTAGTTGCGGCATGTGGGACGCTGCCTCAGCGTGGTTTGGATGAGCAGTGCCATGTCCGCACCCAGGCTTCGAACCAACGAAACACTGGGCCGCCTGCAGCGAGAACTTAACCACTCGGCCACGGGGCCAGCCCCTTGCCGGATTTTTAAGTGTTGTATAAATTCAGTGGTTATCCCTCCCCACTCCTCTTTTCATTTTTCTCAAATAGCCCAAGATCCATGTCATAGCAGAGCTCCTCCCAGGCAGCCCTGCCAGCTGCCCTTCTGCCTTCCTCAATACTTTAGCACTAACTCCTGCAGAAAACTCCCATGTGGAATATGTTATGACAGCAAAATCTTCCCTTTCACAATATGGTTGATCATTTCCCATGTTTCTAAAAAAACAACAATATCATGACCTAGATTTGTAAAACCCAGAGGCATCATCAAATACAGTCTAATCTATCTGACTACTGAATTTGTTTGTTCACTTGTTTACTTGAACTCTTTTCCCATCTGATGTGGCTGCTATTACTGTGATGTCTGGGCTTACTACACACCACTATTTCTACTTTCTTAAACACTAGCTCTAGATGGGTGCTCTGGTTCATTCTCTGCTCTATAAACAGGGCCTGCTGGATAATGGGGAAAGGGGAAGAGGCAAGTTCTCACTGGAGAAGTTGGGGTGATCTGTAGTCTTTGGAGCTGCTCTTCATTTCCTTTTCTGACAGCCATCCTTCCGTAAGTACTCTTAAGAAAGGAAAGCACTGCTCTCTGTGTCTCTTTCTAAACTGCCTAGGCCTAGGCACTGGGACCCTGGACCTCATACTAGCCCAGCATAAGCAGTGGCAATGGGCCACTTGGGGGTATGGGTGGAACATGCAGCATGTTTTGTTTTTTTTTTTTAAGATTTTTTTTCCTTTTTCTCCCCAAAGCCCCCTGATACATAGTTGTATATTCTTAGTTGTGGGTCCTTCTAGTTGTGGCATGTGGGACACTGCCTCAGTGTGGTTTCATGAGCAGTGCCATGTCCGCGCCCAGGATTCAAACCGAGGAAACACTGGGCCGCCTGCAGCGCAGCACGCGAACTTAACCACTCGGCCATGGGGCCAGCCCCGCATGTTTTTAATACTAAATGCTAACTGTCTCCTTGTTTGCTTAGGGGACTGGAAGAAAACAAAATAATAGGTTTCCATTTTATATAGGTATTCCTTCCACCTTATCAAAATGACAAAAATACAATCATCATTCCAATTGGCTATCAATGGGGAGACCAGTTAAAGGGCACCCACTTTCTACCTTATCTCTAGATGGCAAGAACTCTCTGGTGCTTCTGCTGTCCTCTGGTGGATGTCATAACATTCTTGGTGAAAGGTGTGGCCTACATACCTGCCATTTTTAAGACTTTACTCAGTGTTTGTAGCACTTGCATATGGAAAGGGTCTGTTTTGGTTCTGACTTGGAAATCAACATTTCTAGGTCACTGAGAAAGAAGGAAACGGTCTTGGCAGGAAGCACTTCCTTTGTGAAAAGTGGGGGCAGGAGTGGATACTGGTGTTTAACCACTGGGTCTGCTCCCAGAGAAGAATGTCTCTGTCTAGAGAGTGCTCATCAGTGTCCCTTTGAGAAGGAAGCCCTTACTACAGGTTGGGGAGTGAAATGGATGAATAGGAGGCTTAAGTCTAGGGTTATTGGGAAGGAAGGAGGTACTAGCATATATAGGAGGTCTGGAAATGGGAGTTCCTGGGGTAGGATGTAGGCTGAGCACCTCTACTCTGGGGGCTGAGGAGACATGAATTGTTCTAAGCCAAATACGACTAAGGAGCCAAGGCTTGAGCCCACTTAGCCAAATATAAGTTACAAGTCAGCTTGGGCTTCTAGACAAATGAGCAGGCACTGACGGAAGGTTTCTGGAGAGGAGAATAAAAGTGTTTCATCAATCTGGGTCCTTATCTACCTAGGAGCTATTAATACAAAGAGTCCCCAAGGAGGCAGCAGCAGGAGGGAGCAGGTGCACAGACTGATAGTCTGCTGAATAGCAAGAACGCTTCCTTTCTAGGGCCGAGACCAGGAAGTCTTTGCTAAGGAACAGACTCGTATTCACCAAAGAGAACGAGCTGGGGACTCAGTTGGGGTTTCTCCACTTCTAACCTCTCTTATAAGGACAATTTTTTCTCTCACTAGGCAGCAGAGTGGAATACAAGCAGGGAGGAAATTAAATCTTTTCAAATCATTAATTTTTCTTTCATTCCTAGGACATACCAAGCTCCAAGCACCAGCTGGGACCACTTTCATTGCCTACATTGCCTGTACTACCAAGGCTACCGAAGTTAGGGGAGCAGCAAGTATGAAAACTTGCTTCTTTAGGCTTTTAAGTTCTTTGAGAGGGCCCGCTAGTGACTTTGTCTGTGAGATGATAAAATCCTGGGCCCTGGAAGATTGGTGTCTCTCCCTATAAGATAAAGGAGAAAGGGAAATAGAAATGAGCGTGCAAGACCCTTTACCTTCAGCGGCTCTTTTAAAGAAGACTTTGCAGCTTCCACAAGTGAGAGCTCCATAGTGACAGCCAGAAGCTTCGTCCCCACAGATCAGGCAGGTCTTCTGGGGTGGAAAGTAATAGTCAATGGGCAGAACATGATCCCTGGCAGTCTCCAAACTGGAAAGACACAAAAGGAACAATGCAACACACGTCAGTGGTTGCCAGAAATAGGAGGCTAGAAGTCTGAGATCTTCAGGAGTAAACTACTTGTGTAAATTTTTATTACTCATTGCTTAAGTGAGTCAGTATAAAGCTAAATTTTCCTGGGACTTCTCCTAGGAATGATTGTAGGGTTTCCTGTCATGTGGGCAGAGGTTTTTTGGATCCTGCTAAAGGATTAGAGAAGTTCTCTGGGACCAGCCAATCTCAGGAGCTATGTCTACATGAGGGAAGAATGAAGGCAGAAACCCGAGGTTAAGACATCTAACTTAAGGTCAGGCAACTATTTCAGAGCAATTAAATGGTATGAACCCAGCCCTATGACCTTACCTTATCCCAAGGGAGACCTATGGACAAACAGACTAAACACCAAAGCAGTTTGATGTGCTTTGCTCTAGTTCTCTGAGCCTTACTCTCATCTTTAAATAGGAATAATATCAGCTATTCTACTAAGCTACTACCATGAGTGGCAGCATAAATTAGAAAAAAGGATAAAAAGCCCTTGACATGAATATACAAGTGAGGGATCATAATTAGTATTATCACACCAGTGTTTGGTCTCTTTTTTCCATTTCCTCACTTTCCTTAGGAGTCTTTGTAGATCACATGGACATGCCCTCACCCCTGTTCTACAACATAATGTAACAGAATTCTTATATACCTGAGACTCTTGTTGAGAAATGATGCACAATGATGTTGGAAGCCTCTCAGGCTACCATCTCAACACTTGGCCATTAAAAGACACATAGGTTCCCTGGGCTAGGATGGAGCTTCAGAAGTCTCCTAGTCTAACTGCCTATCTCCAAGAAGATCTGTGTCTGAGTCCTTCCAGGTGTATGTAAAAGAGAGGACCACAAAGCCAATCATAAAACCTCAATCGCAGGCTAACTCTCAGTCTTCCATAGTAATTAATTCAAGTTTAAACAAATGGAACATGGTTCTTACAACTTTTTTCTCTTCTATGTCCCATATCTAAGCATTAAACAAAACTTAAGCAACCTCTTGGGTTAATCTACCTCAGATAGATGAGAATTGCCCATACTTTCATTCACAGAGATGCAGCCACTATTTTTTATGAGTACTCCTTCCTTACTAAGAAAGGAAAGAAAATAAGCCCTAATGGCACCTTGTTTGCTGTGCTGGGTGATTTCAACACCTCAGAACAACTCTGTGAGACAATTTTTTTCTCATTACTACATTAGATGAAGAAAGTCAGATCTAGAGAGGGGAAGCCCAGGACTATTTGACACCAAGCTCAGGACTATCTGACTCCAAATCCAACACAGTTTCTATTACCCTATTGTCTTCCTGCCATTCACCTTCTCTTTCAACCCATGGCTCTTTGGTTATCATGCTCAACACAGTTAGCAGAATCCAAAAAGAAGCATGAAACGCTATCCTCATTCAACTCCCAGTGAGCAGCCCTGGTAAGGCAAGAACAAAGAAAGCTTTCACTCAAGCTACATTTGACAAGCACTTTATCTCTAAGACACAAATATTAGTCTTTATTCAAGTCCCAAGCACAACAGAAAGCATTCAAAAAGTTCTGCTGGTATGCAAACCCAGTAGCTGACTATGGTGGCCTATCTTTTCTCCCCTCAAGCCTTCCCTTTCCTACCTTAACTGGAAAGCCAGCAGGAGTCTGTCCATCAAACGAAGACTAGCAGAGCCACAAGTTCCACAAGAAAAGAGTTCCCTTCCAATATACAAATGGGCCAAATGCTAAGAACGTCTTTCGTTTGGCCAAAAATCTCATTTCCTTAGGTAAAATTCATACCTCCATCCTCATTCATGAAACAAGGAGAGGAAGAAGTTTTTTCGCAAGTGTCTTCATCCTCTCCTCACTTTGTTTTACCTCTGTAACTAATATAAACAGTTCAAATAAAATCAGAAGGACATGTATTTAGGCACTCCATGTGCCAGGCCATTTCATATATATCATCTCACTTAATCCTGGCAACAACTCTGCCAGGTAGCTCTGCATTATCCTTATATTGTAGGAGAGGAAGCTGAGGCTTAGTAAAATTAAATAAACTTGTTCAAGATCACTCATCTAGTAACTAGAAATGCCCAGATTCCATCCTAGGTAAGATTGACTCCAAAGTGTGGATTTGTAACCTGTGACTAACCCTGTCATGAGATTGATGGTTGAAATTAGAAATCTATCTAGATTGATTCAACTCAACTCCTCGCACCTAGCCCTATGGACTAGGCACAGGGCTAGGTGCTGGAAACACAGTGATGATCAAGATATTATCCTTGTCTCTAAGCAACTTATCTATTAGAGAAGAAAGAAAGAAAGGAACTGTAAAATAACATAGTAGGCGATATAATAAAGCAGAGTGCAGATCGCTGGAGCTAAGGAAGCACAGAAAAGACAGAAATGTTTTTTGAAAGACATAAAGGTATAGATAGGTAAATGAGATGATGATGATGACATTAAGTATCATTATATGATTGCAAAATAAGTATTAAAGAAAATAGAAATCAGCATAAAGTAAATAAGTCTTTATGGATAGTGCCTTCAAGAAATAGAAATTTTCATTCCTACTAAAATTAAAGATACAGTTCAAATTGTTTAAAAGATTCTAATTAATCACATTTACAATCAATGCTTAAAGACTGAAGAAAGCCATCAACATTTCCTTTATTAGATATGAGTTTAGTAAAATACACCTTGCACAAAAATAACTGAGGGGAGGAGGAAGTGGAGGGGAAATAATGAAGATGATTTTAGAATCTGCATTTTTCTTAACTACAACCCACTTTGACTAGAGGCCTGAGATATCTCCTAACTTCATTAGGCCAGTCTCTGCCTACCTCCCCTCTCCTCTCTCTTACAAAATATTTTGGGCAGCGCTCTCACTGACCTGGCCTAGTGCAGACAAAGGGCACACTGCAGTTCTGACTCATGGGCTGACATCCGGTCAGAATGAAAATTCTATCTGCAGTTCCTCTCTCAGGTTTATATCCCAGAGAAATTCATGCACATTTGTACCAGGAGGCATATGCAGGAATGGGTCATAGCAGCTTTGTTTACAAAGGCAGAAATGATAAACATCCACTGACAGGAGAAAGGATAAATAATGGCACACTCATTCAATAAAATACAATGCAGCAATGACAAGGAACAGAAGAGAGCTACACATAGATGAATCTCACAAGCCAATGTTGCATAAAAGAAATGATTCATAATAGCATACGTATAATATGATTCCATTACATTAAGTTCAAAAAGAAGCAAAAGTAAACAATGTAATTTGGGAAGATATATATGAAAAAAATGTGAAAACACAAGGGAATTATAAACCCCAAATACAGGATCGTGGTTACCTCTGAGGCAAGGCTAGGGGTAATGATATAAGGAAGGAAGATACAAGTTGATCTACGCATTCATTTAAAAGTATTTATTAAGCACCAACTACACACTAGGTACCACTCCAGGTCCTGGGGTTAGAGCAGTGAACAAAAAAGTTTTGTTAATGTTCTTGTTCTTTAATCAGGGCTCATTAGTGTTCATTTTATTATGATGCTCTATAACTGACATATGTTACATGCATTCTCTTCTATGGCTCTAAGAGTACATAAATAAAAGAAGAATTAAAAGAAACACCTCAGAAGTTTCTAATATCTTCCTAAATAACATCCTAACTGCAAGTACAGCAGAAGTTTGCTTTGAGAACAAGTAGGCGCAGAATTTGCATGCAACATTGTGTTTCTTCTCAGTTTCCCCTGGGATACACAGCTCACTTATTATCCCAACTCAAGGCATTCAGTTTTATGAGTCTGAAGCAAAAGCACTGCTGCATAGAATGGAAGTTTTTCAAACCAGAACACTACTTGCTATCCTCCAACAGTTTCACAATTAATTAAATAAAAGTGAATTACTAGAAGACATAGGGCGACAAACACCAGCTCAACCATGGGGAAAAATTGGGCTCAGACACCCTCAGCAGCCAGCTATAATCTAGCTGTAATCTCAGTCAGTCAGTCTGTCTGTCTGTCTGTCTCTCTCGGCCTTGGGGATATCTTAAAGGGTCTGACTAATTTAAGCAAGTCCCCCAATGATTGTGGAACAAGGGAAAAATGCAACAGTCACAGACCAGTTTTCCTTGATGGGAGAAGAATGTCAGTTCAGCAGGGATTTGGAGCCAGCCAGACCTGGGCTGGAATCTTGCCTCCACCACTGAAACTTGGGCCCAATCCTTAAGGTTCTCTGAGCTCCATTTGTGTCATCTGGAGAGTGGAGATCCCTTCTACCTTATGGTGCTTGTATGAGAATTACGTTAAATAACACGTTAAGCCTTCCCCTCTATGCCTGCCACATGGCAGCTGCATTTTAAGTCTAGGTTGCCTTCACCTTTTGTCTTATCATAAAAAAAGGGAAACATCTAATATCTTTAAAACAAAAGAGACTATCTTCTTTGGCCATGCAGTGCTTTCAGGGAAAAGTAAATATAAGTGGAGAGAATAGGAAAAAAAGGCTAGATGTGTAAAAGCGTATATTTTTCACACATACCTCTGTACTTTTCAAATAGGAAGGGATTTAGGAAATCACCAAACCTCTTTATACAGCATAATATTTTTCCTGATGTTTAGCAATTTAAAATATTTTTATTAATCACATTGTGGAATATAACGACAGTTCTACATGAATTTTTAAGATAAAAATCAGAGTTCAAAATTATTCTCTCCTCATAGATCCGTTGTGCCTACTTCTTTGTGGGTACAAGGGATATTTCAGTAGAGAAATTGCCAAAGTAATGGCATGAGACTGGTAGCTTCTTTTCCCCCTGCCAGCCTGAGATTCAAAATTTGGCAACTATGTGTCCAAGAGGACAGTCATGTTTTCTTTTAAAAGTATTACCTGACTTTACCTCATAGCTCTCGAATTCTCTTTAATGATGCCTTTCATTGAAGTGAGAAGATATGTACGCAGAAGATATGGTTTTCATGCC